CACACACGTGAACTTCGGGGTCTGGCAGTTTTATTTGTAGAGGTGACATCATGGCTTTTTTCCATAGCAACTCATCGCAGCGCCCAGGAGGATGCTGAACTCGGGAGCTGAACGCGAGGAGATTTTCAATGGGAACAGAGCAGGCAGCTGAAAGCAAGTCTGAGACATTAATTAATTAATTAGGGTAAAAATAAAAAGGAACATGGGAAAGACAGGAGTCCCGGAGGCCGATGGGCACTTCAGCTGCAGGCAGAGAGGTGCTCAGCCTTCCCAGTGTAATGTTTTCTTGCAGAGACGCACACCTCCAGCAAAGAGATGTCATTGGGGTTAGCCCCATTTTAGAGATGGGACAATCGAGGCATAGGAAAAGAGGAGATCTGCCCGTGGTTAGGCAGCGTTAGCTGGGGGCAGATCTTTCCAAGCCCTCCTTTCTAATCCCCTACCTTAACTGCAATAATTTCTTGGGGTTTTCAAGGCTCTGGGGACTGTCGGTGAGGCACGATCGTGCTGGCGGTCGCGGGGGTTTCTGTGTTGCGTCTTCTTACAAGAAGAAAGACTTTTCTCCGTCAGCCGCTGGGGCAGGGGTGGGTTCCTTCCGCGTGTGCTGAGCCGCCCGTACAGAGCCCTTGTTTTTGCTCGGGACTCTGCTGTCGAAGAATTAAATATTTATTCTTTTAAACATGAAACAATTATTCGGATTAATTTAACGTTAAATAAATGCTTAATTCCCCTCATCAGCGGACTTTGGCTGTGCTAGAACTAGAGATCTCGGGAGGGCAGACGTTGCACTGTGGCATTTCATTGGAATTAGCTGTGGTCCTTACCCACCAAACAGGTCGGAGGCTCCTTGTCCACGCGCGTAGCTGTCGGAGGAGGCAGCAGTCCCCGCTTAGCCCTCTGTTAGCCCTTTTTTATCATCGCCATCTACCAACAGGGTGGTTTATTTTATTTTTTTTTTCCCCAGAGCATTCCAGGATGAGGAAAACTGCATTTACATACAGAGCAGCGCACGGAGATAACGAGAAGTCCTCATTGCTCTCCATCTAGCAGGAGATTTGGTTTAGGATTGGGGTTTTTTCTGGGTTTGTTTTGTTTTGTTTTTTCCCAAACCTCCCAGCCCATTGACGCAGGCTGTGTTCGGGGTCTGCAAACACGAGAGCGCTGCGCTTGCATACTCGTGGAACGCTGAAGCATGAGCAAACTGAGGAACGAGCGGGCCAGAAGCCGGGAAAGCCTGCCCGGTGCTTGGCCACTGGATGCCCTTGAGCCGGCCCGATAACTCGCCTGGGCTGGGCCCAGGCATGAAACGGGACTGGAAATACCCCCCTGCGGTGCCTTGGTGTTGAGAGATGCCGCCTACCACCGGCTATTACCTGGCGGCGGGTGGGTAAGCCGCAAGCTAAGAGATGGGACTTCTGGTGAGCTCAGATTCCATTTTTAGCTTGTCCTCCCCCAAATTTTGTCTCATTTACGCCCCTGCTGCAGCCCATCTGATTCTCGGCTGCCGCTTCCTGCGAGGAGGTGGCCCTTATCGACGGTGGGGTTTCTTAGGCATGGCCAACCTGGCGAAGAGGAGGAGGAGCGAACGCCGGTCGAAGGCCCCTGTGAGCTGCTTTGGCACGTGGCAGCACTTTTGAACGTCACGTTGATGCCCTTGGCGATGCAGCCTCACCTTCAGCGCTAAATGTTAGTTCCCCCTAAAACAACTCTGTCTCTGTTCTCCCAAGGTCTCACATCTGCCTCAGCCTCCATGTCGGATCCCGCTCTGTTTTATAAATAAATATGCCGCAGCTACCAGATTTGTTGGTATGAATCCCAGGATTTCTCCTGCCATATGTTATTTTCTTCATAGGAGCCAAAAGCCATAGTAAGCAAACATTTTAACAGGCGCTGGAAACATGGGACGTGGGCTTCTTGGTGGCTGACTTATTTGTCTAGCAAGAACCATAAATTCTCAAGCTTCGGGGCTTAAGCCAGCCTCTGGGAGCTGGGCTTAGGGAAGAAGCTCTCGACTAGGCTTGCAGGGTTTCTTGCCATTTCCCCTAA